GTATATACATAATTTATTAGAACTAAGCTAGAACAATAAATATGAAGGTCAGTTAAATTATAAAACATGAGCTTAAAGTTCTTTTTTTAAATTTAATTGGTGCATTTTACGTGTATTTGTTTATTGGTCCGTTTATATATTTCTGAATTTATTTTTAATCATGTCAGGTTTGGTGCTCCATATGACTCAAACAGCTGGATTTTAATCTTTTTATGCAAATTGTTAGCATTTGTTTACCTATTAATTATTCATCCACTTCATCATCAGTCAACATGATTATCAGTCTTTTAACATTAAGGTCTTAATTAAAATATTTTAGTTTACTCAGTAAGGTATTGTAATAAACAGATGTTCTAGCTGCATTTCACCTTTTAAAACCTCATCAGTATTCACCAATATTTTATCATAACACGTTACTTTGTTTTATAATTGGCCTATTTAGCTTTCAAAGCGTTCTCAGTGTTGTATTCACCATTCTCATGTTTTTGTGTGTGTAAAGCAAAACTTCAGTAAGATGAGTCAGTTTTAATCAGAATTTGTGAAATTTTTATAAGGTCTTTTTTTTACATATTTTGTTTAAGACAAATAATTTCAGTGTTAAAACAGATTGAAATGTCAGCTGGTTTAAAGTTTTGTTTTGCTTTGAAGAGCTTACAGTAAACMAGAAAATTCACTGGTGCATCTGTAACAAGAAGTATTTAATGTACTTTCTTTACCGGTAACTCTGTTGGTGACAGGAAACAGTAGTAAGAGCATCAGAACTTGCCTTAACAGTAAAYAGTTTTGTTTTTAATTGCTTTGTTTACACTTTTACCCACTCTAAATCACATTAGACTCACTACTTGTTCACAAACTGGTTTAAATTCAGGATTATGATTTTTGTTCAAAACATGGTTCATTTTGTTCAAAATGTATTTTTTTGAGGAATCACTTCCTAAATATTTGACAATACAATGTCTTGTTTATTCTGCAGATTTTTTACAATTAAAAATCGTTTCTTAATTTTTGTGTCGTATCTGACAAAACACTGCCGGGTTGAGAAAAATGTTTACAGGTTGTCACCTTACTGGTGTGAATTAAGGGATTCCRGCATACTTTATAGGTTTGCAAATAAGAGACAGAACCTTCTTAAAAGCTGTAATATTCTTAAAATATTCCAAGTAAAACARCTGCTGAGCTACTAAAGATTATTTTGTTTCTCAGACTTCCCCYCTTAACATCTATATATTTAGTTAAATTCTTATTCTAGCATTTGAGTCAGTTTTCTGTGAGGTTCTGAAACTTTAAGTTGATCACCCTCACCCCCAACATGTTGGCAACAAAATAAGTGAAAGTTACAAAAAGCAATGAAATTTCTCACATCGTCTTTGCACTATCTTCATATTTATTGTCCCTGTATTTATTTACACAAACTATTATTATTGTATTTCTTACAATAGAATCAGGCTCATATTGTGTAAAGGTTTTCACTGACATCAAGGTTCTGGTCAAGTATAAGAACATGTTAAAGTGCAGCATATTTAATACAATGAATGCAAGCAAGTTTTGAAATATCTAAAAACATGTACAAAGTATTTTGACATAATTACACTCCCATATTAGTACTTGTGATCGCTGCATCAAAACTTTACATAATTACATCAGTGAAATATGGACACAGGTTTGAGAACCTTTATTATAACCTTTTCTTTACAAAATTTACAAATGTGTGGCTCTGAGGGAGCTTCTCTTCCTGCCAGCTCATTTATCAGCTTGTCTTTGCTAATCATAAGCAAGTCACTGTAACAGGGTCTAAATGGGCTGTTTCATTGTTGCTCATGGTTTAACAGTCTGCTGGAACTCACAGGGAGGTCAGTGAGATTAGATTAGATTTTAGAAAACACTAACAACCTCTGAGGAATAGACTTCATTCTGCCAGAGTAAATAAAATAAAATAAAACACCTGATGAGGTCAGATTTAAGTGTTGTCATAGACACAACTATTATAGAAATGCTGAAACAGCATTTAAAAAATACTATTGTGACAAAAGTGATGGTAAAGCAAAAAAACTCGACAGATAACTTCATTTTTTTTTCATTAAGCCTCTCAACACAAGATGTTAGTAAAAACATTTCTTGCTTAGTTGAGCTAACAGGAAACTGTCTCTGGCTCAACAATCCTGAAACTGTAGAGTTTAAGATGCAACCGAGCAAGAACCAAATCMCTGTTAGCATCATCTCAGTTCCACAGCAGCTGGATGGAGCAGAAAAAAGAAAAAAAACCTGATGAAGGCGGGCGCTTCCCCTGAACTAACACTTATTAAATCCCCTCCTGCTGGATGAAAGGAAATCACAGAGAAATAAGGGGGGAGTCTGCCACCTTTCATCCACTGAGGTGCATCTGAACCAGGAAAAACATCAACAGAGTCTGAGTAGAAACTGTCGGCGCTCAGATGACGTCCTCAGGCGAGGGTCTGTTCTCCTCTGGTGACTGGCTGTGCGGGGGTGAAGGGAGGGGCTGCTGAGGGGGTGGGGGGCCATCGGGAGGAGGATGTACCATGGGCGGGCCATAAAACGACATGTTAGGGTGAGGCGCTGGAGGAAGAGGGGGTCCGCCAGGAGGGAGGCGAGGAGGGAGCATCATTCTTTGAGGAGGGGGCCACACTGGGGAGACAAAGAAAGTTAAAGACACATCGATCCTGTCTGATAATATAACAAAAATAGAATTTAAGTTTTAAAAACAGTTAAAAATTCTTACTGGGCATCATGGGAAGAGCCCCTGGACCCCTGGGAGGGTAGAAATCAGGAGGAGGTGGGGGTCCGTAAGGGGCTCTACGAGGAAAGGGACCATCCATAGGAACCAGTGGGGGTCTAGGAGGAGGACCGCCCATCCTTAGATCTAATTCGGGGGGAGTCCTCTGATCAGCCTAAAGACAGGAAAGCCTCTTTAAACCCACCTGGGTCACAGATCTACACGTGCAGAAACAAAMGTGCTGCTCACCAGCCGGGGGTCCTGATCACCAGGTCCAAGATGGTTTTCCCTGAAGGAGCCATCTGCACCCATAAARACAAAAAAATACAAAAACATGCAGAAATATTCCAAATATTTTATTTCTCTTAACTACATCACCTAAAATTTCTAACTTACCAGCCATGTCTGCAGGGTGAGGAGGTCCTGGGGGGAGGCCTCTCGGTGGGAAAGGACCAGGAGGAGGTAAAAGACCCAGAGCCGCTGGAGGAGGTGGGGGTCTCCTGAACATGGGAGCTCCTGGTTCTGGAAACATATAACCTGAGAGACAATCCATAAATTAATCCAACAAACTCTAATCCATGATATGATGTCAGTGTTTGTTTTATATACAAACCTGACATCAGAGAATCACCGTGTCACATTGGGTGAATAAATAATAAATAAATAAAAAACTTTCCTTGAATAACAAACTCACCGCTATACAAACTGAATTTTAATGATGCTACAAATAACAGTGAGAGCACTTCACATCAACACACAGATAACAAAATTAAAGTTTGGTCATTGCTCTGAATTATCTGTCAAGAGTCAAAATGCACTGAAGACAACAAGAACTTTCAACGTGCTTTTCTTTTTTTTTTAGCTTTGCATGCAGAGTGGCTCTAAAAAAATGCATCCAAAGTCAAACCAAACATTCTGCAGGTTGTGTTCTGCTGTGTTCAACAGGTTGGACCCAAATGTTTGCTGCTACCTAATGTTTAACCTGCTGAGAGCAGATCAAACACAAACAGGTTTCTCAGCTGCACTCAGATTAGCAACTGTTAGTAAAGGAGGGAACAAAAACCTGCACAGCTCTAGAACTGATATTAATCTGCTGCACTCCGGTGGAACAACTTCTTTTTTTTTTTTTTTTTTAAATGGTGGCTTTTAACTTAGTTCCTGATTTGTTTAAAAAACATAACCCTTAGTTACTTTTAGTGGAGTTACCTGTCGATTTACTGCTTTAAATCAGTTTTCCCATGAAAAGAGACTCAAAAACATACAAGAATAAAGAAACACATGCACATAAATTAAATTAATAATGCAGCAGATATGCAAAATAAATTTCCCCTCAATTTTCCCCTGCTCCTGGTATTTGTCAGCCACCAAGAAAGGGAACTCTGAGATTCAGGAAGCTTGTTGGAAAGACATTCATTCATTTTATTCACCATAAACTCTGTTAAAAATAAATTAACTTTGACTTATCTGCTTAGATTTGGATCATGACGAAACATTTTGGTAAGTTTGTCCTCCATCAAGTTGGTGCAAGTCAGGCTGTCTGATCATTACCACAATTACTCTGAGTATTTTGTTTCACCTTTGGATTTTTACACACACCTGGAGGACCTGGAGGACCTAGAGGACCAGGGGGTCCAGGTGGGGGACCCCTGCGATCTCGCTCCCATGTGGGAGAGTTTGAACCACTGTCTGAATGAGGACCTCCACTGCGCTCCAGCTCTCCTTGGCCACCCGGGGGATCCACCGGACCACGGGACACTGGGAGAGAAACGAGTGAGGAGACGCGCGGTCGATGAAAGCATCAAGGTAAGAGACGGACAGAAAGAGAGGGTCACAATAAGAGGGGACCGAAAGAAAGGAGGTTTGGGCCAGAGTGAGAGTAACAGAAGAAAGAGGACATCAAGTCTGTTAGAACTGCTTCAACTATTTCTTTTTATTTTAGCTTGACTGCAGATAAGGTGCTAAAATATCACAACATGCATCATGTACGGTTCATCATGCAGCACGTACAGCAAATAGAACATTATTATCTGCACAAAACCCATTTCTTTGGAGTCTTTACCTCTAGGAGACAGTCGAGCAGGTGGTCCATCCATTAATGTAGGAGGAGACAGAAAGGGTCTGGTTTCAGATGAGGGTCGGCCGTAAGGAGAAGAACCGTACGGTGACCGCTCAGCTGCAGTGAAGGAACGAAAACACATGGTTAGACCGTCATCATTTCAGACACTTCATCATCAGTGCTGTCAGAGAAGCTTTAACTCACAGCATCATACTTCTGATTTATTGGTAGATTTCACTTTTTTTCAGTTAAACATTAATTTAATGTAAAGGGATAAAGATACTGGTCAAGTATTTAAACTGCGTAAGAATAAAAACATTAGAATCAAGCTGTTATTGATAGTTCAACATTATAAATTTATTCAAAATGTACAGTAACTCCTATGGACGAAGATTAAAGCCACAGAGCAAAAATATATTATTTTTTCCTGAGTTCAAACTTTAATCTCACAATTCTTAGGAAAAAAGAGAATTCTGAGAAAAAAGTCAGAACTTAGGGGGAAAAAACATTTTTTTTTGCTCCTGTAAAATACAGATGTATGAATGAGTACATTAATGAGGAAAACGTAGGGGTGCACAGATTGCAGTTTTCTGGCCAATCACTGATCTTTAAAATGTCTGATCTGCTGATTCTGATCTAAGACCAAAGTGACCTAAGTATCGGCCAATCTCCCATAATTAAGGAAATCGGGGCCGATTTATCAGTGCACCTCTAGGAAAATGGACACTGTGAATGTGTGTATGGATGTTTACCTCTGAAAGGCAGTGGTCTAGCGAGGCTGTTCAAGGCGTAGGGGTCTTTATCGAGGGAGTCCAGTTTAAACTGTGTATCTGTGATTCTGTAAACATAAACACACTCTGTCAGAGGATGGCTGGCCAAACAAACATTTAAAAGTACAGTGTACTCCCATCTGTCAATCAAAGCCTTGCTATGACACTTACTTCTGTCTGAGGAGGGAGTTCTCTCTTCTGATGTCTCCCAGGTCTCTCTCTGCTGCTCGAGCTGCCAGCTGCAAACATCAGAGATGACAGGACATCTTCAGAGAAACAAACAGGCAAACTAAAAGTGGTCGAGCTACAGTTGCACAAACTCTAACTGGGCTGCACAAGACAGCTGCGCTCAGATTGTTTTTCCTTTCAGAACTGCTCTGTGCTGGAAGACTTACTAACCCAGTTATTATGAGCCTTCGTCTCGTGTGCAGATATCTGGGTCTGGTACGACTGTTTGGTTTTCTCCAGCTCTTCCTCCATCTCGTTTGCTCGTTTTCTGAAATACAGCAACACGATGTGTGAAGGAGGGATATAATTATAATTATATACTGCATATATTCACGTGAAAGCAGCCAACCTGTAGTTATTCAGCTCTTCCAAAGCCATAGCAATGTTTTTGTCAGCTTTATTTAATTTCTCTTCCTTCTGCAGACGCTCCTTTTCCTCCACAGTCAGCATTCTATTAAAAAAACATCTCATCATGTTTTGTTCGGATATCAAATTTAAAGAATATGTTTTGTGTACCTGTGCAGCTTGAGCTCATTCTCCTGGTACATTTCAGTCATAATTTGGAGCTTCTGTTGTAACCGCTCAACCTGATCACATCAATCAGTACAATTAAAAAAAAAAGAAAAATAAATAAATTAAATATCACTGTAACAGTTTAACGTTACTAACCTCATCTGAATAATGTTTAGAGTCAGACTGTAGAGATAACTTCTCGTTCTCCAGCTCCTGAATGCTCACTTAATGAGGAAAGAAAAACAATTGTGTCAAACATCAAACAGCTGCTTTTAAAATGTTTCCACGAAAAATATAACAAAGAAAGTTTTTTTTTTACTTTACTTGTTTGAATTACTGTTAACAGGTTTTTGTGTTACTTTTGCGTCAGTTTTAATTTACATAAAAAATACAATCAAGAGATTTTAACTCACCCTGCAGGTCTTCTTTAGCTTTGATCTCATCATTGAGTTTTGCAAATGCTCTGTCCTTATCTTCATCCACTGATTTGAGGTCAGCATTCAACTAATCAAAGTTACAAAAGCCAAACTGTGAAAAAGACTGCAGAAACTGAAGTTTTCAAAAGTGTTCATTTGAGTAAAATGTACTGAGTGCAAAAGCAGATTGAATTTTTAATAAAGATTTTAGTTGACATCAGGAGTATGCATTTAAAATGTAGGAAAATCTGTGCCTCGCTTTATGTTATGGATTTACCTTAGCAGCATAAATAAGTTTCTGCACTTTCTGCAGATGTGCGTCTGTTAGGTCACCTCTTCCACTCCCAGCTTCTTTCTGTGGCGTCCCGAGGTTTGTCTCTTTCTCTCCTGCCTCCTCACCTCCAACTTCCTCCAGCTCTGAATCCCAGCCTTTCATCCTCAGCAGCCTATCTGTCAAGGACTGAAGAAATGAAAAACACATTTTAAATGCATATTCATGTAGCTCTGCAATCTTCTGTAGTCGTTAACCAGACAGAAGCTAGTTCTATTCTAATCACTGGAAGAAGCGATCCCACCATTATACGTTCATCCTTCAAGGTGACGTCCTGCAGCATGGCGCTGTGGGCAACCTCACATCTCTGCATCTCTGCCTCCAGCTCGCTCACTCTTTCTGCCCATCCCTCCACCTGCTGCTTCAGCTGCAGATATTTTAAAAAAATGAGCAGGGAGCCAAACGGAACATAACTGCATGACTTTAAATCTCAAATTTCAACCACGTGAATCCATTTCCCTGACACTCGGTGTTCAGCGTCTGACCTGAGCGTTGCTTTCCTGCAGCAGCGTGTTCTCCTCCCGAGCCGTTTCCACGTTCCCCTGCAGTCTGTCGCTGTTCATGTCGTAGATCTTCACAGTTGTTTGTGCCTACAGAGCCAACAGCAGCAATGTTTCATTGAAATTTAGGAGAAATAAAACAGCAGAGAAAAATAAAGAGCAAACACAAGAAATCCTAAAAAAATTTAACAGCACCTGCTCTTCCTGAGACAGGAGATTTTTGGTTTCCTGTTCGGATGTGTTTATGCTTTCCTCGAGCTCGGATATCTGCAAAATGAACCAAAAATAATTCTAACGATATTATATTATTAAAAAACATTTCAGTATTTTAACAGATATTTTGTGAACTCCTACCCTCCGTTCTTGCTCTTTCCTTTGTTCTCTTTGTTGTTCCAACTGAGCCTTCAGCTGATCAAGATCTCTCCCCAGCTCCTTTTTAGCGTCTGTCAACTGTCTGGCTTGGACCTGCCATAAACAAGACAACAAATGTAATCAGAGGTCTTTAAGCAAAACAAAGAAAGAAACAAATGACAGATCAATAGGAATCTGAGAACAGTCTAAGTTAAAATAAAAAATCAATCTTTAAATATGTTGGTTAAGTCAGAAAAAAAGTACTACTTTTAAAAGGAGAAGGTTGTATGTCAGCTGAGAAAAAATTAATTCCCTAAAACTGAACATACATGATATAAAAAATGGTAAATATTTAAAAACCATTAAACTTTGACATCCATTTTAAACAACTGAAAAAAAAAATTAAAACATTTGCTATTTGAACTAAGTTGAAGTATTGTTTTTCCTCTGCCTTACCTCTAATTGTTCTGTTTTTTGAGTCTGGGCCAAAACACCACCATCCCTCAGTGTATTCTCCAGCTCATCATACTGAAAACAACATTAGAAACGGATTCTCACAATAAAATATTCATGACAGCCATAAAATATCCATTTGTTCAGGATTTCATTTTATAAGTTTGTTATGCATGAGTAACAGCTTTTATTTCAAGACAACATAATGACTTTTTGTGTCGTCTTGAGCTTTTAAAAGGTATGCAATAACAAACACTAACCTCTTGTTGACACTGACTGAGAGTCTCAAGGACTTTACATTTTTCATCCAGCAGCTGTGTGATCTGTTGAGCCATCCACTGCTCCTTACCTGCAAAAAATACATTCATTTTTTAAAGAATTAGCTACAAAACTAAAGCTAGTCAAAATATTTTAATGTAAAAACACATTTCTTTATACTTCGCTACACAGCGGTCATAGTTATGTAAAATTAGCAGTCATAAGTGATGATGCTATCATTTATAAAGATGTGATTACACAGTATTCTTTGAGTGGACTTACTTCGATACATTCTGCTCTTGATCTGTGAAGATACAGGAAAGAACAACAATGACAAAGTAGTAAATGTCTGATAAGGCCTGTGCAGTGATTTAGAGTTTTATGAATAAATGGTAAATCAGGGATGTTCAGTCCTGGTACTCGAGGGCCTCTATCCTGCATGTTTTAGATTTTTCTCTGCTCCAACACACCTGATTTGAATCAATGGGTAATTAACAGGCTTCTACAGAACATGAAGAGGTAATTCAACCATTGATCCAGGTGTGTTGGAACAGAGAAACATGTAAAATGTACAGAATAGCTGCCTTCTAGGATTAGGATTTGACACCCTGCGGTAAACTACCTTTATACGGTTAACATAAACCCTTTGTTATGTTGATGTAAATGTGTGCTCCTAACTGCTCAGAGGCTGATATATCTGTGCTTTAGTAGTAAAAATGATGCACTTACAGATTTGTAACATCTACAAGTGAACAACAGGAATGTCACCAGTCCCACCAGACCTGTGACGAGAACTGGTTCCCATGGTACACCGTACAAGTCAGGACCCAGTCTGATGTCCTCAGGTAGTGACGATACAACCTGCATGAAGACAGCAAGAAAGAAAAATCACTTTAGAAATTGGTTTTATTTACATCTTTAAATTTTATGCCGTGGCTTTAATACTGTGGGCATTAGGATTATCAGTCCAGTACTGGATGAATACTAACTAAATTTTAGAGTTGGCTTGTCTTTAACTTCATATATATAT